TAAGGGATGGGGGGGGGTAAGGGGAGGTGCCTAAGCAAGGAGGAGGGGCCGATAGTTAAGGCGGCTGGCTACCTGGCTGGCTGCCTGGCTACCTCAAGTCAAGTTATCTTTTATACAGGTAGGAACAACAGGTTCCACACTGCCCACCAGGGATTATTTGTCTGTCTGTCGTGCACGAATGCGCTGTCCAACCAAGTTCCTACCTGCCCACTCCGAAGGAACGTGTTTCAATCATTGCGCTGCAGGTGCAGCCGCTGTGGCGGAGATTGTCGAAGATCCCCCGTGTAGCCTTCGCAGACTGTTGGGGCAAGTGCTGTTAGCGAGCACCTACGAAGGCCGGCACGTGGCACACGAGGTGGTTGGATGGCCAGCACCGCACCCGACCGCCTTTGTCTCCCCAGTGGCGATGTTCACACGTCGCACCAGGTACTCATTAAAGGCTGAGTGGACCTAGGGGAGGAGGCCCAGGACCGGTTCAGATAATTGTCACAGGTGTTTTTGGCTGTGAGCGGGAATCGAACTCGGGTCGCCGGGTTCATAGCGCAGCGTGCTATAACCACTACACTAGTATTGGTCTTCAACAAAAACAACAACCGCCATTCGTCACCACGGCGCTTGTGCCAGGCTATGTGCACGTTAAGGCCACGTGAAGTGTCGAACGCCTGTCGACAGGAGGTCCCACGGGACAGACCCAGCAAGGTGCCATGGGGTTGACTGACTGAGACGAGAGTCAGTATTGGTCTTCACAGCCTGGATCACACACACACAGAGTCACGGCACAGTGAGCAGCGTCATCTTCGCACACGAAGGACCACGACAAAGAAATCTAATCAGAAGAATCCGTTGCCATCCCCTACCAGAGGTCGCAAACGGGTTTTGATACCTTACCCGTTATCGGCCGCACCAGGGTCACAAATGGATACCCGTACCGGGTACGGGTAGCCGTTCTCTACCCGTACCCTACCCGAAATGAGTGACAAACAGTTACTCACCGGTGACTCACGGCCTACCCGTACCCGGCCGCACCAGGGTCGCAAACGGCTACCCGTACCCGGCCGGGTACGGGTAGCCGGGTATCGGGTAGGGTACGGGTATCAGGTACCCGGTTGCGACCTCTGTGCCCTACGCTTGCGCAAAGATCGCGGCGATAATGTTCGGGATCTAAATGGCCAACGTCGTCGGTGGTTTGCTGAAGGGTCGTTCATAAATGACGTCACGCACCTAGGAGGGGGGAGGGGGTCAGACATTTGTGACGATGTGTGACGAGGGGTGGGGTGGGGTGAGAAATGTGACGTCACATCAAAATGCGCAACTTTAAATGAATATAGACAACTCGTTCTACTTAATTAAATAGACTTTTTAATAAATGTTTTATCCTACAACATCAGAGTGCAGCGCCACATTAAATACGCACTACAATGACAATAGTTTAAAGCGATTTGAAGCATGTTTTATTTGGGGGGGGGCAGAGCTTTGTGACGTCATATTTGAGGGGGGTCTGACTTTTTGTGACGCCGTGTGACGAAGGGGGGTGGGGTAAAAACCGTCCAAAATCGCGTGACGTCATTTATGGACGGCCCCTAAGGCACGGCGAGAGGGCTTTCAGGAGAGAGCTCGTGTCGTTCTGGCGTTCCTCGACTGTTCAAGGGAGCACAGGGCTGCAGTGCGTTTATTTACTTTTCGGCCCCATCGTGTTGGGTGGCATGGCCACAATCGCGCCACTGTGGATTGTGTCTTTAATTTTCCATTCATGAAGGAGACGCGTTGCCCACCCGCCTGCTGTTGATGATGATCTGATGCTGTCGATGGTTTCACCACCGGTGTCTTCGAGTCTAAATTGCGACGTTTGGAATCTCAAACGAGACTCCGTTTTGTTCCCGTACCGGGACACAAATGTGTACCGGTACGGGAACAAGGTGCATCCACACTATACGCTTAGTTCTTTCGGTAAAGTCACGTAGGTAAAAAAAATGAAATTAAAATTAATAAAAATAAAATAATAAACTCACGACGTTTCGGAGGCAACACAAGTCTCCGTCATCAGGTGGGACCGTCACAGCCAGATTTGCTGCATCAAGATTATTTTATTTTTATTAATTTTAATTTCATTTTTTTACCGACGTGACTTTACCGAAAGAACTACGAGTATGCATCCTTGCAGTCACGAAAGCTTCAAATCGAGAAATGCATCCACACTGCAGAGAGTAGAGGTAGCCCCATGACAAACTCAAACAACAACAACTACTACAGAAAACTGCAAGCACAGCATTCATTAACAAAAAGGTGGAGGGGTCCTTCTGGAGAAGATGCTGATTTATTTACACTGCCAGCGTTAAACAAATCAGCACCCCGTCACCCCTGAAGCTCCCCAGCATGCAGCCAAACCACAAGTGTGGCTGGTGAATGCACCCATTCACTTAAAAGTGTGTTTATTTTAATTACTGCCGCATTACGTATTATTATTTAAAAACAAATTGTCTCGCATGTCACGTGTGCATGCCCCCGCAGCTTGACTGCTGGTGCCATACTAAATAAACTAAGTGGCGTGTGTAAACACAGAGGACTCTACATTAACAATGCCTTAAAGGGTGGCAGAGATATTGCCGATCATTACGCCGCTGTGTATTGCTCAGTCGTTGTGCGCTGCTGCAATCAGCCGCTCGGAACAATCTGATCATTATCCTTTTTTTACTGCTTTTATTATTGTTATTGCGAGCGCTTTGGGGGGCTCGTTGTCGAAATACAGCCGCGATTAGCCTGATTGTGATTTATTGCGAATATTCATTTTGTCGCGATTGCAGTCATATGTGATGCATTGGACGATTGGTGCACGGAGGCTACAACCGGCACGCGCGTTTTGTGTACGCGTAACGACACGCACCTCCCGTGTGGGTCAATCTGCAGAGGTTTGTCGGAACATACTTCAGTGTCGGTCAGCGTGGGATCGGTGAGGTGTGCAGCAATAGACATTAGGACGTCGCGCGGTACAATACAATGATGTGTTTTGCTGGACCGCCCTCTGCCGATAATGGAGCCCCGCAGGAGACTAACACCTGTGATGCATGGCGGTCACCCCATCCGTGCAATGTACAGGCTCCAACCTGCTTAGCTTCTGGATGATTTAATGATGATAATAAACAGAATATATTTGTTTAACCAGGGTTAGCACCGTTGCACTTCAAGACTTTGTCAGGAGAGTACTACATTGAAATAAGATGTTTGGGAACCTTAAAAAATATATTACTCGAATATCTATATTTATCACATGAATGAAAGAAAATTGGAATGCACGGATAATGCACTTACATACAAGGGGAGTCCATTAAAATTACAAGTCACGGGCGAGTTTGATGTCCTCTCTCCTACAGGCAACTTCCAGGTGCGTGTCTCATTCAGGCTCCATCATGTCGACATGCCACCAACCCCACCTTTTCAGAGTGATGGCATACACCAGCACACCAATAAATACTATGAATGCACGTGTGGAATTTGCCGTCAAACCACATGGATGTCTCGAGACGCGACAACAATTTGTGACATTCGCACGGACACGCGCACGTTGACACAGATAGACAAAATGTGTGCAGGACAATTGTTATTTACATTTTTTCCTTCTGTGATGTGTTGGATAATTATCACGATACATCGTTTTGTGCAATTCATTAGTTTGAATCGTGAAAATAGCGTATCTGCATTGGCCATTTTTGTCGAATGATATTTTTCAGGCGACAAGAATGCTCGTATAAATATATTTTTGTCAGGGCGTATTTCTCGGCTGTGAGGTGTCACCCAACATTTGTTTACAGCGGCAAGTTGTTGCAGGATTCTGTGAGTCACCGATTCACCGGCCAGTGTCGCTTCTATCCGTGGTTGGAAATTATCAGCTCCTGCAGAGAGAGAGAGCACTTGATTACGAGCCATAAACCGCAAAACAAAATGTAACACACAGAATACATTTTTTGTAAGTTATTATTTTCCTTATTTTTGTTTACACCTGATAGGGACCAGGTTTTGACACCAGGACTCATTTTGCTTTCCACCTCGCAGCTCCTGGCTCAGAAAAAAAAAAAACTCTTTCCGCCCCAGCAGCTCTACGTATCGCTGTGCAGTCCCGTCAAGGCTTCTGTCTTTTCGAGATGTGCAACCCGACCTTCCAACTATGCAGAACACGCACATTTACAACATTCCCCACTGCTTTTTGCACACTTTAAAAAACGCCTGTCGTCGGTATTGAGCATAAGATGTATGTCAGGGATGTTGCTTGTTAAAGGCAATTTTACAATCCTCTTACTCGAGGTATAGATAATTTTGGCTGGACAGCGTTACCCTGCTTTTGGCGAATATATGTTCTCACATTCAAACGCTCAGGACCCGACACTAACAAAGGACATAACCGCTCGCTCTGCCAGCTCAGAGCTTGATGTGCACGTATGCCATGCACAGAACAGATAATTGTAATACTTGTGCGACTTTCAAGCTGGTGTGCGAACTTGATGCCAACCACAATCCCACAGTCAACACAACAAGCGAGTACACAATCATTCTTAACTTCTAAGCAATCGATTGTATTTTAGCACGAATGCTATGCAATAACACAGCATTGCCTAACATTCTCAGCTTCGCATAGGTAAATGAGTAGCACCATAATACATTTTTCTTTTACATACAAAAAATACTATCCGCAATATTTTGCATGAAGTTTGATAAGCACGACCACTGACCACAATCACTGAATCTAGGCAGTGCTGCGACTTTTTTGAGTAACAAAAAAATAAAAGTTTTTGCAGAGTTGCCGCATTTAGCCGAATTTACATTAGCAGCAGGGCCTATCCAGTTTGGAAGTTATGATTCATATTTGCGGTCACGGGCCATATTCACCTTTTCCATGGCGTCACGTGCACACAAATGGGTCTTGCAAAAGTCAAACGGACTTCTCCCCCGCCCCCCACCACCACCCATTCAGAATATCACGTGACCTATCTGGCGTTTGTAACGATCTTCTCACACTCGGTGTAGATATAAAGATTGATTAGCCCCCATGTTTGCATGTTGCTTTCACACAAATGGTCACCGCCGACACTGACAATTCAAGCAAACAAGTCTGGGCCATCATGCTCTCAAACGACATGGAATGGTTTGTTTTAAATGTTTTTTCTAAAACTGGACAGGGCGATCCATGTATAGATACCCCCATCGATTTCTAATTACCCTCCCAGTAAATATGGACCGTTGGGTCAATGGTGGGTTCCAACTGTTCCAACCGCATACCGACAACGTTGGCTCCTCGCCGTTTTCTCAAAAGGCGATTGACTATTGCATAAGCACTTATCCGAGGGGAGAACATTACAACGCAATAATTATATTGGGACTTGTGGGAGGCAGTTACGACGAGGCTTTGAAAGAAAATGTAGTTCTCCATTTCTACAATCTATAAATGGATCGCCCAGCAGAGTATAACTGCTGGTGTTTCTCTTCAAGCAGGAGTGAGGTGTGTGTGTGTGCGTGCAGTGTGCTGAAACAGTACTGGCTGCTCTGCGTTTCACTTTATAATTAATTCCAAGTGTGAACAATTGAATCCAGCTGCAAAGTGGCGTTTAAGTGTGCATTCATATCAATATCTCGCTCCTGGCTCGGGCGGTTAAAGATAAGTGCATAAATATTGGGGGGGGGGGGGGGAGAGGGGTGCTTCTAAATAGGTTCCAACATTCGGGTTACTGAAGCTCATTATAAAACACCGGGGTCCAAACTTTTCGATTGCTCAGTGTGTGTTTGGCAGACGTATGCACACGTGTGCGCGCGCACACACGCGCGCTTGTTTTGCCTGTGGTCATAATTATGAAGATGGTCTGGAGCCGCCTGCGAGGTGGAAAGGGAACCTGGGGAAGGCATCGTCCGGCTCCCCCCTTGGACGCAAACCAGGCCGACACAATTACCAGAAACATTTGCAATATTTTATTTAAAAAAAATGAAGCATGCTACAGTTACTTTACAACGTACACGTACGATAGAAAACAAGTGCAATTCATAGGGTAAACTGTTACGTCTAAAAAAAAAAATACAATGGTACGATGGATGACGACGCAACACCAACAACAAAATGTAAAATATTGTACGTTTTGATTTTTCTTTTGCACGCGAATCCATCGCAAAGACCTTAAAACACGTGGAATGCTTTAATATTTTGATAACACTTTTTTTTAATATACACCAGCCTTCTTAACATATTACAATGTTTCCTTAAAGCATTACAAGTAACTATTGGCCGACAATTTTTTGCGTTTATAAAAACACGGTACACACACGCACGGACCTGTGGAGCCAAATTATCATCGCAAATTGTGCAAGTGCTCGACGGACCACAACTTAAGTATCGAACAACTTAATTAAAAAAAACTGTTAATTAAAATAAAACATGACTTAAAAAATGGCTTGTTGGATGAACTGTAGAAATATATTTAAAATGTGCCAACAGCTTTTTTTTGTCCTTTTTGTTTTAAATTTGGCAAGTTTTGCACAATACTGTACAACATCCGGCACGTTTTATTGTCGCACTTGGCACAAATTGAACTGCAGATTTACAAAAAGCTGTCACTCGGCGCGAGGAACAGTGCACACTACGGTAAATATGCAAATACAAAGAGAATAAATATCATTTAAAACCACAACACTGTATTTTCAGACTGAACACGTTATGTTCCGTAATGCTTCTATTTGAGGTTAGTAATATTCAGTAAAGAGAGCAGGAAATTGTTGTGCCCAAGTCTGCAACATCACACACCGCAAGAGCAATTCTATACAGAAACCAGGGCAGTAAAGGTACATTGCCTGGATTCTTAAGACCGTTATCTCGAGTCTATTTTCTTGTTTAAATCACACCGGGGAAACGATGCGGTACATCCACTCTAGTTTTAATGATGCTTGCAACACTGCTGAGGGCATCTTTTGCACTCCGTACCTTGGGAATGTCATTGGCGCATTTGGCACACGAAGGGCCCGAGCTTGCGAATGGGGAACCGCGGGGAGGCCTGGCAAGTGGACACAGGACGCCCCCCCCCCCACACACCCCTACAAAGCACGGAATGCTTATTTTATATTTTATGTTGTTTCCCTCAAATAGTTTTCTCGGGGAAGGCAGCTGGGCAACACGTGTTGGGGCTCACGTTCGGCTTGGAGGTGAGGAACGCATCACAATCCTGGAGCTCTTGGCCATTAACAGTGCAATGGCTGAAATCGTTCCCGAACCCCACAGCCTACTTAGCGCCCAACTGCTTCCCGCTTTCGCACGAAGAGTACCTATTTTGGCATTTAAAAATCACATTCTATTTGGCGACAATGTGCATCAAGTTAAGAGGAGTACATTTTGCCTGCCTTTTTAAGCAACGATATCACAGTTAACCCTGTCCTTTCATAGCTAAATAAAAACGTACATATGTGGAACCCAAATGATCGCCGTTTGCCTGTCAACAAAATTAAGCATTGGCCAGTCAGGGGTTTCCAATAAAATAGACCCATAAGTTATTATAGAAAGGCAGGTTCTTCAGAAAACACAAGCAGCAGATCTGCAATCACCTGCGATCCAATAATCCGCAAATCCCTGCAATTTTCGGATTTATTGGCGGTTCGCAACTCTCCTCCCGTTAGCCGTGGCACACCGCGATAGACGCCAAAAAAATGAGTTTGCAGAATATTTGGTGTAACCTCCGCGGAGCAACGAGGCTTTACAAGATCCACGGACATGGTCCCCAAATACCAACGCGGTTGATTGGATTTCTGCTGCAATACTTTTTTTGTACCGTGGGGCAATAAAAAAAAATCATATATATACCAAGTTTCCATCGCACAGTCCTAAGAATCCAGTTAGAAATGTTTAGCACCCTCGCACACACCGTGGAGAATCCTGCATCTTTGGGGATTTTGGAGAAACGATCGTTTTTCAGGAACTCTAATGAGGTCTTTTTGCCATCTGCTTCCAACCTGAGTAAATGAGTTTTCTTGGTTAAGTGAACTGGGCTGTCTAGATGCCAAGTGGCTACTAACTGCAAACTATCACTCTACCACCCCCTCAATCTGTATACGCATCTATTGCAATTAAAACATTGAGAAAACTCTAATTTAAACAGACAATGTAGCTGTAGATTGCAGCGTTTAAGTTATTTTCTTGAAGTTTAAATTCCAACATTAAGATACATTTGTTTGCATTTTCAAGAACATCCCTTAATTAAAATATTAATATCTTTATCATTATCGTCACTTATTATTTGCCTTTAATACACTGTAATAAAAGCATGCTTCTTAAATTGTTCAACCATCAACGTAACTATATTATTTTTAAAATTTTACTGCCTTTCAGCACAACAGCCAACTGTTGGAAAGGTATTTCTCTCTAGCAACACAGTATATATATACAGCAACGTACAAACATGGCCTAAACCTCAACAGCCTTGGTTCATGAGTGACAGCCAACAGAGGGAATTTAAAGCTGGTCCAATCATTCCATATGCTGCATGTTGCAAAACACAAAACGCTAAAAATAAAAAAAAGCATTTAAAACACAATCGCCATCACTGAACTGTGGTAAACGCCTCCTTCGCAGTCTCGGGCCAAAAGAGAGAACAGAACCCAGCAGCGATAAAAAAACAAAACCACGCGTTCATTCCCTAAGAATCTGAAGCATGCGGCGCACAGGTGGCTCAAGTTCAAATCGCGCGCAACGTCAATTTGGAGGAATCCGATTGGTCAGAGCGCCCCGGTAGCTATTGTGGCACAAAGTGGCGCCTCTGTCAATCGTGCAGCTTGCCCTGCCATACCTACAGAAGGCGGGGGGTGGCTTTGTGAACACTGACCGTGGTGGAGTGTGAGGGGCAGCCCTGCACTGGCTGCAGCCCTTGGGAGAGAAGGATGGGTTTGGAGGGGCTTGTGGCCTTCACTTTAGCCAGCACCAGAGCTGGACATTGCGAGCTAACGCGGTGGATGCCGAAGTCAGTTCTCTCTTTAACGCAGCATAAACAGCACGCTTGGGTTGGAAGCGAGATGCGGATGAGGGCCGAGAGGGCACTTGGTGGGAGGCATACATTTTCAAAAAGCCTTGAAAGCACGCATCAGGCAGAGCAGATGAGCCAGGCTAGGCTACCAGGTGGGAAATTCCACGCGTTCCCAGCCACTGTTTATATACCTCGCGTGAGAGCAAGCCCAGCCCCAGCCGGTCAACTTGACATTGCTGCCGAATCAAGCCACCGGTATACACTGTACGTTTAACAAAGCGAGTACACGTGGAAAAGCGGTAAAAATTAAAACAAAAAACCATAAAATACAGTCAACCGCAATATCTGGTCCCCCTCTCATCAAGTTAAAATGGCTAAAGTGAATGCCTGTGTTTTCTGCAAGGGCCCACAACCCCCCAGCAAACATATTGCCCTGCCCACCGAGCTGCTCCAGCAGCAGCAATTGAGATGAACAACCCCTAGCACTGGCTTTTTGCGGCAGAGAGAATAGACGGGGCACTAGGGCAGCAGGCCATGCGGAGCAAGCCACGAAGAAGCATTGGCCGACCAAAAGTAATTAACAGAAGAAAAAAAAAACAAATAGGTGGATACTCTTGGGTTGCTCAGATAGCCTGCACGAGGCTTGTGTGCAGAAACGGAATTTGACGTCTTCCCTGCTGCATACGTCTGGATGATGGGAGGCCTGTGCCAAGGGAACGCGATCCGCACACATTGACGAGGGTTTAGATGGATAACGAAAGGGGGAATAACAAAAAAACTAACCACACGTCTACAAAAGCAACCAATCAAATAACGGGATCACAGAGGCCATTATTATCAACGCGTGCCTATACCCCCTGAATGTTAAATTTGTCCAACGCAATATTTACCCTGAAGTCCACTAACCGGGGAGATGGGCATGCAAGCGCTGGACTGCAATGAGGGAGGGAGTGGGGGAGTGGGGGAGTGGGGACAAACTTGTCTGTGCAGTGTGATGTAACGGGGGGGGGGGGGGGGAGTGCAGTGTGTACTGTGTCGTCACACAAGTGAATAAGAGAGGGTGCTGAGCAAACGGTGTCGTGGTGACGTGCTCTTGTGCATTGGTGTCAAAGCGCACACGGTGCAGTCAAACAAGGTTTCCGTGCCATGGAAAAAACATGTGCACGTGCAGTTATGTGAACTGTGTTTAAGTGCCCAAACTGAGTGAGAAGTTAAAAAATGTGCAAGCGGTGGTATTAAACACATCGAGTGATAAAGTGTGGGGGGGGGGGTGTTGGAGGTGGGGGGGGGGGTGGTGTCATTACACACGCACAGGGAGAGGGGGGGGGTGTTTAGTGCAGGGGAATCTTCAAAGCGAGCGTGCGAGTGAAGTCGGTGCGGTGCAAGAGGGTGGAGGATCATCACGTGTGGAGCAGCAGCAGCAGCAGCAGCGCGTGCAAGGGGGGTGCGGAGCGGCTCGCAAGGTGAAGTGCGCGTCGACCGACCGTCACCGTCGGATCGGCACCACGCGACTCCCGAGCTCGTGGTCGAAATGTGCCTGTGGCTGAGTGGTCAGCGAGTGGGGGCGGGGGGGGAGGGGGGCTACAGAGAATGGGGGCATCAGTTGTGGGGGGGGGTGGGGGGCGGCAGCGGCCCATCGGGGCAATGTGGCCGGGTAGGGTGGCGGGGGTGGCGGTTGCGTTAGATGGACGTTAATTGCCGTGCTCGGCAGTGAGAAGGCCGGCACTCAAGTACGTGTGGGGCAGCTCGTGCAGGCTGGGCCAGGCCCAGCAGTTGAAGGGTCGTGGAGAGGCGGACGGGGGCCCTCCTAGCATGCTTCTGTCTGCAGGATTGAGGTGGTCTTTCCTTGGTACGTTCCGAATGCACTTCTTCTTTCTCCTGGGAGAGCGAGCGAGAGAGGCAGGGAGAAATTGTACCGCTGTTAAGCGCAGAAGTCGGGGAGTTGTCACGGAAGGACAGAGACGACGATGTTAACAACAAGAGCTTGTATCCCACCCCCCCCCCCCCGCCGCCACCCACATCATGTACCGCCTAAACCTTCATGTAATACAGTGCGCCGTACATGAACGCATCAGTATTGTTAACATGCCCTGTAATTAACGGAAGAAACCTCATTTCAAGGATTAGCAAAGTCCTTTGTCCGAGATATTTGGTTATAGATTTGGATGATAGTTTTCTGTTCGAAGCATTTGTTTAAGGTGACAATTATTTGCAGACTGATTCGACAGCAGTTGCTGAAATTTGATTTCGAGCGTCCAACAATGCAGTCATGTCCTATTACATTTGTGTTTCACTCTGCCACAAAGTTGTAAATTGCTTTAAATTGAAGCTTTACTCCATATAAACGTATCTTGTCAATCCTAAGCAATAATAGTATCCTAAACAGAATACGGCATTTTTAAATGGATTCAGTTATAATAGATCATGTGAACGCAGGGATATAGACAATTTATATTTTGGGATAAAAAAAATAGTTTACATTAAAATTATTGTTAAATGTTATATTTCATTTTAAATGGTAAAACACGAGGATATGTTGCTTTGCCAATGAGCAAGCACTGCCCTGCTAACACAAGCATGCAAGTCTGTCTATCTGTATGGGTGTACACACGTACGCGTGCGCGTGTGTGTGTATTTTTTATGACTTTGAATGCTACTCGGTGAATGTGCCTACACTGCGGGGAAACTGGGGCCACCTGCAAATACCGAGATAACAGACTTCTTACAGGTTAATTATCCCAAACAATTACAGCGGGCAAGTCGATTATCCAAACATCGGTTATCCCACTACCACCTCAAAAGGCGAATTAAATAAGGCGGACAGATAGACGCATGATCCCCCACGAAACGGAGCCACGTGACCCCCCTCATCCCCAGCGGACTTGGTGCCAAAAACTCATTTTTTTTACTAATGCGGGCCGTAGCGAAACTCGCCGCTTATCAGTTTCGAATGCCTGACCGCTGTGCAAGCCAGGGGTCCCCCCCCCCCCCCCCCCATCAATAAATGCGCCGGGCGGAACAATATATTTTTCAATCCGATTTTCTTACGCGAAATGACCCTCACCGCTTGATTACAGAAATTTAAAGAGCACCTCGGAATATAAAATGTGTCGCAACACTTTTATTGCAGTATATGCCAGCGGACGATCGCAATGTTTTGAGAATGGGATTTTAAAATGTATTATTAAACTCGACTCATATTTTCAACTCGTACTTTTACCTTTTTTTGTCAACATGAATTGCCGTAACATAAATGCATTCACTATTTAATTAAGAAATATACAGCTACAAAATTTTGCCTTAAAGTCATGTTTATGTAAAATGTGCACGTCTTTAATGCAATTGTTTAATAGCCCTTCATCTACATAAATGTTTGGACTGTATTTAAACGATTTACACCCTCTCATTGTAGGTAATTTACGTGTTTGGGAGGTATCGGCATTAACCCGTGCGAAAGGAATGGGCCTTTCTTTCAATTCACGCATCTCAGAGGTGCGTTTTGTCCTGTATGAAGTGGCATGGCGCATGAAGTGGCATCGCACGTACAAGCAACGCTGCTTAGGAGTCGGAACAACGTGGAGGACACAGACTAACCAATAACACCACCGTCCCACAAGCTCCCTCGGCAAGACGACTGCATTGCGTTTAAAACACTTTTACGCTCGGCTCGCACTTGCACGCGCGTTTTGACAGGGCCTCAAGAACGTCACGCTTAGCTAGTGGCAGGGGGGGCCTGTGGCGTTCCACTGCATTAAAATGTCGATGCACGAATAAAATGACAAATGCAGCAGTCACGTGGTGCCACAAGCCATGCTCGCTCACAGCCCCCCTCTCCTGGCCCACGCAGCAGCATGACTCACACTGCGGGAGCAACCGCTTGCAACAACCGCAAACACTCACGCATGCAAATGTCAAAGCATCGGGCGGCCGTCCCACATTCTACGGTCAAATCGTTTAAAAGTGCCCCCCTAGAGGTTATTCAAATGATTTCAAAACTTTCCATACACCCCCCGGTTCACTTGCATTAATTCACGCCACTTTTAAATTCATGCGCGCCGCTCGCTTAGTTGGATTCGTGTCATCAGGGAACTTTGTTTCACTTTCCTAGGTGTGGGGCTGACATCTCATGCCTTTTGCAGGGGCTGCCTACTTTTTGTAATCGAACGACTTAGAATTATGGGAATTATAGAACTTCATGGTCGTACCAACGTGTAACCAAATTCACCCGTCCAGTTTTTTTTGTTCTTCCTCTGCAACCAAGGAGGTATTCAATATGATGGGGGCATTTAGTGACTTGCTGCATCAAATTATGTCACAAAGGCACTTGTTGGTAAATGTAGTAATTGCACAGCCCCTGCTGCGCCCATTAGCAGCGCTGCAGCAAACACTCGCGCAGTTTAACCCTCCTCACCGGGGGGGGCATGGTTTCTCCTTAAAGGTGGACACCGTTCCAAAATTCTATGGATTTGAGGTAACTCACAAATCAACACTGGCTGGGAGAAAGGTTGAAAAAATTCTCAGCGGCAGAAAGCAGAAACGCCGTAAGAGCGTTTCGGAGTACAGTGAAGACAGCTGCACGGACCACTTAACTGCAACTCTTCTGCCAAAGTATTTATATTCTCTCGTTCTATTCTTTATAGAAACAATGGCCAAAGTGTGATTTAAGATTATGCAACATGCTTTCACCAAAAAAAGTACCCCACAGGGAATCACCTACATGGTGGTGAACATTAAATTACAAAATTTACCATAATCATTACAAGGGACCAGAGTGTGTGTGTTGACTCGAACCGCTTACTCACCTAAACCGATTTTTGGCTGCGGGGCGGAGATAGAGTGTGGATGACGCGCAGTGACTCATTCATATTTTTTACTTTCTGTTCCCATTGCTTCTCAGCGCACTCATTCACCACCCGTGCTCCTTTCCAAACCTAAGTTCAAACCCGCCTCATCCCCCCACTATGAAGTTTCACCACATGTGAGGTGCTCAGAGATGTTTAACATTTTGTTATGCCATTGCAGTTTTGCTCTTCGGTTGGTCTTAACTCACATCTGACTGAATCTGTGGTACTAACAGTCATTGGATAGTTGCATTGTACGTGTAACAAAACAATTTAACCGTGAAAAATAAATCGTAGCGGTCGCTCATAACAATTCATGCAAGTTAATTACTCATCAACGCTGATACTACCCCACACCACCATTGTCGTCACCATCGACGCTCAATCATCGATTCATCATCGACAGTCATCCTGAGTTATCGCCATGAATCACGCACTCTGTGAGCAGCCGTGGTCGTCACAAACGTCATTATGGTTCCCGCGAGGCCTGGCTTACGAAACTGCAAAGTTGAACATTTACACGAATAATCACATAGCGCAAAAAACTGACAAAGACTGCCATTAAAAACATAGAAGCTGGTGTCAGCCTATCCTATAATAGGAGCGTCCGATTCCTATGCTTCATTTCTCTCATCTTAAATGTTCAAGGCACCGATGAGGGCCACGTTGTTGTGATCTGACAAAAACAAAAAGGTATGGGATCGAGTTTCTCATTTTTTCCCTAACGTTCCAAAACCACTCCAATACTCTCAAGTGAAAAATTGATTTAGGAAGAGAGTTTATAAAGATCAAAAACCCCGTAAGATTGGCATGGCAAAGTATTTTTTAGTAATGGATATATAGGCGAGAGGTTATACAGCAGCTCTTCATCATCAGCGCCCAAGACCCCTCGGTTGCGTTAGGTCAGAATTCATTCTCTACAATGAACACTACTCTATTAAGTGCTGTGACTGACAGATTGACTCAAAAAGACTCACCACGTGCAGTTTCCTTAAAACGCAATTAACCAAAACACTTCGCCAGCTTTTTACAACTGCCCCTTCGGCACCGTGGGTCTGTGTGTTGGCATGTCTCACACTGCACCAACGGAAAGAGGCGGAAGCGATGGGAGGGAGAGCCGAGAGAGGTGGAGAGCGCGGTACCTACCATCGGCACAGTCCACGTCACAGACTGCGTGGCACGGGACAGAAAAACAACAGCTTTAGCTACGAGACGCCACTACCAGAGGTGGACCAGAGAACTTCACGTGTCTCAGCCCTGCCAGGTCATGTGCTCAAGATGAATGCTCGGGGTGGAACGATTCTCCGCTGAGCGTTACACTAAATTGTTAGAATTCAGGGTTGCGATTCGATACGGAAACACATTTCATCGCTTCCTTTTATTTAGGGAGCGAAGAACGTGGCTGCAGGGGGCGAACAGGGCGTTCCCGCTGCGTACGACTTACACGAGTCAAAGAATCATTAATTCCTACGCACACCATTTGACAAAGGTGTTGCGAGCCAAAGAATCGATAAAAGTCGATGAATCGATGCATCATTTCACCACCCCCCCCCCCCCCCCCCCCCAGCGGTGCACGTCCAAACGCGCGAATCGCCGTGTCGTGTTAGAGTTGGTGTAATTTGTCTTTTTTTGCTTTCACGAGCCAATTGGGGGACTTGTGACCTGGGAGGGCTGATCATCACAACAAAAACAAAGCAACACAGCAGAGGGAAGAAAGCACACGAGCCCGACAAAACTTCACACACACACACACACGCACGCCGATTTTGAATGCGCTCAGCTTCGCCTGGGACCATTGAACACCAACTGGGCCCAGGAAAACACGAGCTCGATGCTGGCCACTGGAATGGTGTTTTTGTTCTATCTACGAAATAGACCAAGTGTATCAGCGATAACACACCGAGCTTGTAGTGACAACTATTGCCCAAGGAGGCCACAGCCCCCGCCGAAAATATGTTCACGTAAAAATTTTGTTCAAATTTGCCAAATATGTCCATCGTGATTTAGGTCGCCGAGCAGAATGTCGGAAACCAACGCCCCGGTTCTCAAAAGCGCAGTCGTACAAAAATGTGTCTCTCGTTTCTTGCATTCGATTTGTAGATTTAACTTTGAAATGACATTGAACGTTGTACATTTGCCTGTCCAGAGACTATCTGGTGACAAAGGTTGAAATACATCGTTATCTTTGACCATTCGAATTTAATAACCTAACATTAATTTCAAATGGATCGGAGATTAAATATCTTGTTTGCATGCTGCAGTGGCAGTAATTCATAACATTTTTTAGCTGAACATGGGAGGGACTAAAATGGGACATTTGATCATGGACTGAGATTCCTGTTGGTTACCTAAAAGCTACAACCCCCCTTCTTAAAGCCTTCTGTTAATAGCCTCGCACAAACTTTGTGCATTTCACTACCTCAAGCGTTTATTTGGCACCATCGAAAATGTCTACCTAAGGCCCACATCCCTCTACTCTCTCTCACGATCCACTCGTAATGAATATTCAGGAAAGTGCCGACTGCCAAATATAAATTATTTCACTGTCAACTGCTGCGATCGTACACTCATCGGGAGAAAAGTCTGAAAATAAGTTAGTCAAATTAGGCCAAGTACCATATTTACTGGTACAGAACGATGTAGGTCCAAGCTAAGCGCAGCCTCGCTCTCGACTTCGTCACCCAAGTTCCTCCCCTCCAGTAAACCTTCCACCACCAACTGTCAACAAGCCGGAGGTCAACTGGGATATGGTTCGGTTGGCTGGTTCCAGAGAACAGCGTAGAGACTACGAAGGCCACAGAACATTCGGGGACATCTGGATCTATTAGTGTTCTCCAAGAGCTACTTTCAGAACGCAGCTCGGTTTACGCTTACGATTGGCTGCTTTTTGCGACGCGATAAATTATTCGCACGAGCAGATTGCTTTTGTTGAGGTGCACACACACATACACCCATTGTGTGGTGCGCCAATGGGACTCAAAATGGTTTTAATTTACATGCAGAGATAGAGAACGGAGCTCTGCCCGTGTAAAGCTTTTTACGTGTAATGCTACACCGCAATGCACAACGAGCTCGTGTATGGGTTACTTTTTGCTATAAACGTCATCGCCAAAGTTAAACAGGAAATCCCAAGAGACTTGCTTGACTGCCGATGAGACTCATTAGGCCGAATTCGCTCCCCAAAAGTTTCTTAACAAACACGAAATATGCTTGATAATGTTCGTCTGGAAAGCCAAGCGGCGGATGGACAAGAACATATTTCTATTTGCTTCTGCAGATGAAGCTCTAAATAAATATAATGCCTCGAAATTGTCAGCTTCCTGCAGATGTATTTGCAATAAATTAATTTGCTGTAGCCACGGATTCTGCACGTAGCTGCTGCTGCTGCGCTTTACGGGAGAACACATCTGGATGCAAAGGAAGTTTAATGCTCTGAGGCCATCAGGGTAGAGGAGTATAGGGTTATCATGGAACAAACACATTTGCGTGTGCCACAGCCTGCATTATCGTAAAAAAAATAATGATCAATTTGTACAAGCAAGCAACCAAGCTCAAAGGGCAGATAGAAGTGACCACGACTGATTTGCGCTCTGCGTGCGTGTGCGCATACTGTGAAATATATAACGAGCAGTATGCACAGGAATTCCATAGTACAAATAATTAGACTCAAGTGCATAGGGCTTATTAAACAGTACTCGAGTGAAGCATTGAAGTGACAAAATGCTTTGCAAAGTTTAAGAAAAATAAGTTATGTAGTTTGTATTTCTGATGAGCAGTCAAGCTGATAAATATATTGCAGAGCACATAGGAATTATCGAATGATAATAATTGTATTATTTAGGTTCTTAATACATGATTTAATACTGCCTATTAATTATTTAAAACATTTCAATCCAATAGTAATTCTAGACACAAATAAGCAGTATTTATGCATATAAAATTTTGCGCGCAAGATGAATTTGGGTTAAAACGTTAGTTACTTAGAAAGTCACAATGCTTGTGCGTACATACAATAAAGGACATTCAAAAAGTTTTGAGAACCGACTGAAAGAGGTAATTGCCCTCGTCGTTGACTTTTAAAGCTGAAACTAAAGTAGATCACATTTTCTACGCGAACATACAAAACGGAAGGTTATTCACTTCCACTGCAGTGCTCTATAACGTCTCAAAATCACACAGATGCACATTTGTTGAAGCCACAACATCGACTAAGCAAGGTGTGGGTTGCCATGCATTACTAATATCCCAGTCTCAAAACATTTTGACCACCGCTCACATCGTGTGTGCGTACACACATATACACTTGTATAAAACGCGTTCTCTCCAAAAGTTAATCGTCACCGGCAACAGCTTTGCCAACAGACGGGAAAACTCTGTGTCATTACCCTGTGCAAGCACTGCACGGAAGATACACACGTTCAGCATAAGCTGCACACAACATGCACACGAGGGGAGGAGGGGGGGGGGTGAGGTTTGGTTAACGTGACACACATTGGGCTGTGGGGGAGGAAAATGAGGCAGGATAATTAGCAACAGATCGATCTACCGCCCAAATCTCCCCCCCCCCACCCCCCCCCCCCCTGTTCTCAACACCGTACCGCTACAGCAAGTGCGCATCATTCACGTCTTACCCAAAGGGGGACTTAAATCCGCGGGGGTCGCTTGCAACGAGCGGCTCGCAACCCCATGCTTTATTTTTAAAATTCGACAATCGTCGCTACAGCCCAGCATGTCCTGTTAACGAAACGTGTCGGGGGGGGGGGGGGTGTGGTGCGCGCTTGTGCGAGGAGGGTCAGATTTAGAAGCTTGCGGGACCACGTGCGTGCACACCGCCAGTCACCTGCTGCTACTGCTGCTACTGCTGCTACCTCACCCGCACGTGGATTCACAACCCTGCGCACGAATATTGGCGGCGGGGAAGGAAACCCACGCGCGGCGATTCCACCGCGGTCACCCGAACGCCGGCTCGGTCGGCCGGTCGGCGCACTCACCTCTGAGGCAGTGGCGTCAAGTAGCTACATCATCGGCTCAGGGGGTGCGGTAATCGGTCAGGTGGTGGGCTCCCCCCACCTAATATTTGATTAGTCTCGTGCGGTCGCACCGAGGCTATTGTAACATCGCGGCTCCTCGTGCCTAATATCGCATGGTTACATACATGTTGTGTTTCTTTTGCGCTGTTATTGAAAACAAATCTCATGGTGGGTTGTCAAGGGGGGCCACCCCAACTCGTAGCTTCTGGCCACCAGAAGGGGGGCAAGGCATCCCCCTGCATCCACGCTGGTTACGCAACTGCTCCCAGGTCAATGTTCACCCTGCACGTCAGTGCCAAAGAACGCGTTCACAGGACCTTCGTACGGCCAGTGCATCCAAGCATGTGCTTTGTACAAAAAAGGTGTTTTTTCTTTGCGATTGTTCTACACGGCTCTCGAGGTCTTGTTTGGGTTGTCCCAAAGAACACCACCAAGAACGTGCGCGAGACAACGTGAACACACGTCGGGAGAGAGCGAGAGAGAGCGCGCAATGCCACGCACGTTGCAACGCACTAGGACAGCTACAGCGAGGTATTAACAGGAGATTAAGGCGCAGCGACTGTGCAATTGTGCTCCACCGCACTAAAGCACATGCGGTGAGGTGATGCAAGCGGAGTGCCTTCCCAAAGCTAACGCAGCGATGAGTGGCGGTGCAGGTGACGAACGAAAGAACAAAACGGGGGGGGGGGGGGGTGGTGGTCGAGGGTGAGGGGTGGAGAGAGAGGAAGGGGGGGGCGAGTTCCCCTCTCGTGCAGCCCATCAGCTCACACCACACACCGCCCCGGGGTCCACAGCAACCGAGGTGTTTCCTGCCCCCCCGGGGCGGGGCGAGCGGCACCGCGTGCAGCGAAGCCGGCCATACACACCTGCACGGCCCGCACCAGTCCCCCTGCTGCTCTAGCCCGAAGTGGGCCCGACACCGCTTAGCTGCAGCCAGCTCTGAGCACGGCCAGGCGGGCGGAGGCAACGAGAGCACACGTCAGGGTGCGGGAGGGGTGGGGGGGGGGCCAGGACACACGCACTCGCACGCGAGCACACCCGCAGGGGGTGGGTGGGTGTTGGGGGGGGGTGGGAACTCGTGCCACGCGTGCAGAAAGAGACGCGCGCAAGCAACGCGCACAGATGCGAACGCGAGTGCAGGGGGGCGGGGGGGCATGCGGGCAGCGAACGACAGAAAAATCGATAAATTACAACAACAACAAAAATTCAAACGCGAGGAGATATTGAGAGCCATCCCCTCCTCGTTTTGTAAGGGGGGAGGAGCGTGCCACCGGAAGATTGTAACCAGGGGGAGAGGAGTTTGAGACGGGTGTGATAGTTGAGAATTAAAAAGAAAAACTGAAACGGATAGGGCATTGACGACCAGCGCCGGGGGGGGGGTGGGGGTCGTATCTCCCTCTCCCACATCGACCGATTCCGCCGCATCCATCCAAGCATCTTCAGTTGTGCCTCCGAAATAAAAATCTGTCCTCGAGCAGCCGCAGCAGCCCGTGGCTTCTCGGCCGACCTGGGAGCCGTCTCCAGTCGCTTGCTCCAAAGTCTCGTGCCGTTTCGGGTTTGCAGCGCAGGTTCAGAGCGGCACGGGTTGGTTGGCTGTGCCAACAGACAGCCACGTCTGGCACGTCCAAATAAAGCCCAGCGCCTCGCAGACGTGAGGGTGGGCATTTTACCGACCGGTACCCTCTGCATTCTCCTCGTAGATTACAAAGTGGAACCAGCAGAAGCGGAGGTTGCGACGCTGACTTTGGCCCGTGGAAAAGGCTGCATCTTAGCAGAGTCGGCCTTCACACCATAGTGCAGCTTTTGGTGCCATAACACATGAGTGAAACAACGCAGGTGGTTTTTTTCATATTTGCAGTTTTGTCATCAGGTTAAGCAGTTTCTATTTCATACACGGACGAGTTGTACCATTACGGAAGGTGCAATGCCAAAGCATTGTCCATGGAATAGGGTGGAACTTATCGCCGGAGGGATCTATGTCACTGTCCAGCTATGTGAACCTCGTGGTAGGTTCTACTGACCCAGTAGGAAGGAGCAGAGCAAAAATCCGAGACTCTGAAGTTGAGTTTTTGTCCAGAAGGTATGAAGATTAATCAGAAATGCATTGTCAGCATAGTCGAAAACGGTCAACAGCTGACCTGCCACTGGCAATGCCAAAGGCATTCGAGCAACTGGCAATGACCCAATTAATTGAGATGAAGAAGAGGGCCAGGGTGAGCATGAAGCATTGCTTGTCGCCCAACAATGTCCTGCAAGATCCAGATAGGTTCCTACCCATCCAGACAAACGATGCTGACAGAGTGCAGGTCATGGCTGCGGTGAATTAAGAAAGATGGAGTGTCCCGACCCATATGGCTCTCAAAGCCTTCCACAGAAAGCCTCCCTGTCCAGAGAGGTGAACGCAGCCTTCGTGTCGATGTACGTGATGCGCAGGGGGGGTCTGTTGAACTCACGGTGGCGCCGGAAGAGAAGACAGAAAGCCAGGATTGTGTCCGTCGTGGTCGATCGCCCCTTTTTGCAAACCCAAGACCCATGCTGGTGTTTCTATTTGGTGTTTGAACACCTTAACACCTGTTTCATTGCCAGAAAGGGTAAAACCTATTCTTATTTTTCATACTATGATACTAGCAAAAGAGGCCCCATGATATAGCTGCTCACCCTGAGCTTCAAATGCTGGGATATGTGCATTGTCTTTGTACTATTCACCAGTCAACACACTGGTGAGATTAGGCCATAAAGAAGGCTGTCTCTGGTGTAGGCCAATCAGATTAAAAGACAAACGCATATATAATAATCAGAGCACGTTTGTTTGCATGTTCATCACAAGCACTGTGTGGTTAATGCAGACTGAAAGCTACCAAATCGACCTTTTACTTCGCTTTAATAATGCATTTTAGTCTGCACTTTCCATTCAGTGCGAACTGCAAACGGAGCAGATTTTGTTGTTGTTGTCGAGCCCTGCCAGCGTATCTGCTGAGAAACAACCAAGGAATGGAACCACACCCCAAGGGGACATCTGTCAAGGACATGGAGGGATGACGTCCGTGTACGTGAAGGTGGTGGATCGGTTGGTGGACGTTTGTTTGTGTGTATGTACGCACATTGAACTTCTTTCGGCACCGTACGTAGCCAATCGTGCTCATCGAAAGTGCGGGATCGTAAGTTCCTGGGGAGAGGTGATGGCGACTTGGGAAGGGCTTCATCCAACAGTGGACTGATGGTAGTTCTTAGCGCACTTTGGTTCTTAGCGCATGACCCAGTGCAATTCCTGCTCATGGGCCAACACCAGCAACTGATGAATATCTTCTTATTCTTTTTTTTAACAGAGTTACTGAGCCGCAGGCCCAAAGGGCCAAAACGTCACGTGACTGTAACAAAGAGTACTAGTGCCAGGGTCATAATAAGGGTTAACACGTTTCATGAACTGAGCAAGGTCATAAGAGCTTGGGATGAGAGACTATGGGAGGGAATTCCAGAGCGGAGCAGTGTGAAGGGAAAGAAAGGAGCGTTGTGACCTGTAATGTCGCGAGTGGTTAGGTGGGTGAAAGTGTGAACGGTGTAAATTGGTGGATGAGCGAGTTAATGAGTGGGTGAGTAAGAGGTCGAGCGAGAGCGTGGAAAAAAAACGAGTAAATGAGTGGGTGAGCGAGAGCGCGTGTGAATAAGCGGTGGACTGTCAGATGTGAGAGGCAAGGACTCTCTCTCTCTGAAGACATGGGTCCCCTGCAGTTGGACTTGATCTGGGGGAAGGAGGTTGTAGATTACAAAAGAGAAGTGACCCCGGGGACAAGACGAAGCAAAACTGAAAACACCACGCGCGGGAAAGCTGCACGTAAAATGCATCTCGCATCAAACCGAGCGCAAGTTCCAGCAGAGTGTGCGGAGTGCATTGTCGTAGAATTTTGCAGTGGACACCTCAACAAGTGAAGATTAGATTACACGCGCGCACACACACACGGAGTGAACACGCCAGTGTGTGCAGACTCAAGCGTGTGGAGAGTGTGTGCGCACAGATGCTTCGAGGAAGCCGAGGTCTGTCGAGTTCATTTGGTGTAAAGTACAACGTGCAAGATTGTCTCCTGTTACTGCTGGTTGCTGCTCGATTGAGTGCTCTTACGTGTGGGCGTGTTAGCGTGACAATGTACGGCATGGTGTTGTCGCATTGGCAATCTATGCGGCGTACAAGTGCAGTGCGCGCGAGTGCTGTGTGCGTCGACGCTGGGTGTGCGCAGACACGTGCACCACACGTGTGTGGTGTGTGCAGGGTGCTGGTGTGCGGTGCTGGTTGTGTTACCCATGCTGTGTGCCACGTGCTGTGCGCTGCACAGGGCGACTGTGGAGGGCTGACCTGACACTTCCACCTGCTGCTTCTCCCGCCTTCTCTTCTTCCTCTTTCCCTGCCGGGTGGCAGAAACATTGCCAGAACCATCACAAATACATGGCAAACGCCACGAGCCTCCCGGTGGCACAAGAGGGCACACGCGATCGCGCTCAACTCCCCGTGCTTTCGTGCACGCGAAGTTGAGGCGAGCACAGCTGGATGTGCGGGTCACAAAATAGGGTCAACATCCAGTCACGGACACCCACCCACCCCCCCCCCCACCTGATTTCTAATGGACTCTCCATTGGTTCTGCTCAACAGATGATCGAATAGTGTAATTGAAGGCTCTGTATCTTATGGTGGAAAGTTATTTTTTTTTTAAAGAAGCGTACTGTGATTGGTGGGAGACGTATAGAGGTTTTTATCTATAGACTATCCCTATCATTTTTGTGTTTTATCAAAAAAAAATGATCATTGTATGTGTGTATATATATATACATACACACACACACACACGAGTTAGACCATTGAATCCGCTTCAATAGAAGCATTATGAACTATTTACGATGCGTGCTAGTTTCCCCAAAACCATGCGCTCCTCTTCCTTTCCTCTGCAGCGTGTACTACTTCCGACCACACAGCAACTCTTCAGGCTCAACTCTGAATCTCTGCGCGCACACTTGGCCAAAAGGGAACAATGAAGGTTGGCGTTTGTGAGCAGCACCGGCCACGACAGTCGGCATCACCGAGCGTGACGGATCTGCCGCTTGTTCGATTCCCGCTCACGGCCACCCCTAGGTCGACTCAGCCTCAATTGAGTCCACGGTGCGATGTGCAAAAACATCGCCACTCGGGAGACAAAGGTGGCCGGGCACGGTGCTGGCCACCCAACCCCTTCGTGTGCCGTACCAGCCTTCAGGAGGTGCTCGCGAACAGTACTTGCCTCAACAAGCCTGTTAAGGCTAAACGGGGGATCTTTGTCTGTGCGTGTGCACTTCACGGGACGTCTTGGTGGCTCTAACGGTGCGCTGCATGCGTCTTAAGGGTACGACGACTGACTCTGGTGCGTGCGTGACTGCGCCTGCATGCGTGAGACTCACATAGTTGTCGCGTGCGGACCAGCCTGGGTACAGCTGCATGTGCAGCTGCCTCTCCTTACGAGCCAGCTCGTAGTACTTGGCCTGCTCCTCCCGGGACAGCGCGTGCCACTGCGGCCATCGACAAAGAAGAGACGTTAGATCTGGAGCGGTGACGGCGTGAAGTCGGTCGCGCTCGGTACCACACGGAGCCCTCTGGTCCTGTGGCCACGACTCCATCTCTGGCAGCGGTGGTGGTGGAGTGTACAGTGGTGGTGGTGGAGTGTAGTGGTGGTCTGCAGAAACGCTTTAGCTGTCGGACTTTTGTTTAACACTTGCCACCAGCACTCAATTATTTTCGTTATATCACCCACAAGTCCACAGCCGGGGCATAATGAGTTTTTAAAGAACTTTATGCCATTTATACACTAAACTTTCCTCCATTATCACGTCGCCACTAGGAAATCTCATGACGTGTCGGGGCACGGCAGAGCCTGCATATCTACAGCCACGGGAACTGAATTCAGTTCCTGAAGTAGCTCCCCCAGAACATGGGAGCGAAACGTCGGGCAACCACGGCGAACAACAAACGCATCGTAGAGAGATCTCCGCCGGCGTCATCACAACGGTTGTTATTGTTGTGGCGGTAGTTATTTGGTTGCGGGGTGCCGCACGTGTGTGGGATCGTCGGACCGTACCCGCCGGCCCAGGATCTGGTTGATGGCGGCGCTCTCCTTGAGTGTGCACTCGGCCACCACCTTGGCGCGCATCTCCTTCATGTAGAGCATGAACGCGTTCAGCGGCTTCTTGATGTGCGGTTTCTTGTCCGCGTCGCGCTTTTCCTCCGCCGCCTTCCTGCTTCCCCCCGCCCGGCAATCGCATCGTGAGCGGCAGGACGAGGGGGGGAAGGGAAGGGGGAAGGGGCGCGTTTACCCCATATAGCAAAAGAGCGGCAAGCGCGCCAGCGCATGTCCTCGAACCGCACCGCGTCACTTCCACCGGCGATTGGTGCGAGCGGGTAATTGCAGGGCTGCGCCTTTTGGCTGTGCGGTTTACTGCCAAGTTTTGGGAGTAGGGGTGCGATGAAGATGATGATGATCATGCCGCTACTACGTGCAATCCCAACGGAGCAATTTTCCGGTTAGGCTTCACGGCAATGGGACAGTTTGGCTAATAACATTCATATTGTATGGCGGGGGGGAGGGGGTGGCAATGGGACAGTTTGGCCAATAACATTCATATTGTATGGCGGGGGGGAGGGGGTAGCAATGGGACAGTTTGGCCAATAACATTCATATTGTATGGTGGGGGGGGGGGGGGGGGGGGCAATGGGAGGAAACCAGGGAACCCCATAGAGAACGCACACAGAACGCGTGGAAGGCACACAAACTCCACGCAGGAAGGCGGTAATTGAACAGCCCCTCACCCCCCCACCCCCCTTCTTGATCTGAGGTACAAATAATACATTGCCTATATTTTACCGAATCACTGGAAGGTGGTGGCAGTGGTGGGGGGCGAATCAATTCACGCCTCATTATCACATTATTTTAAAAAAATCAAGATCCCCTGTGCAGCTTTATTCACCACTCGGGGCAAGTGCTGGAAGCGAGAACCACCGATCAAGGTGGGCATGCAGTGACCATCACGACTTCCCGGATGTTGCACCACAGGCACACGGACATAGTTCATACAAACAATGAACGCAACGTTGTGACGATTAAAATAGATTACTATTGCGCTCGCCAGCATGAATATGAGAAACCATTAGTCTCAATTTCTATCCACGGGCACAGGCAGCTGGGTCACGAGAATTCTGTACAGTGACGCCAGGTGCAACATTCACCACAATGGCAAAGTGATTTTTTTTTATCCAATTGTGACATTAATTGAATCGAGGAGAGTGAATCATGACTCCTGACATGTGTGCCGTGTGTGTGTGTGCGTGAATTACACTGGGAGGAGCGGTGGCGCAGTGGTTAGGGTATTGCAACATGAAACTAGCAAGCCGAGTTGAATTCCCAGCCATGTCTAACGTTAGGTGGGCCAGTGATTATGCAAAACGGTAACATCGTCCGCCCTTCATCAACTCACAGTGACAAGCGTGGCAAAGTATGGCCAATTAACTCGCATGACCAATGTGGTGTCGGGGGGGGGGGGGTGGAGAGGCCTTTAACCGAGTAGCAGATTGACCAAGGGCTGTGGCTGGGTATCGACCTCGGTGTTTGCGAGTTTATAGCGCTGCCCGGGTGGGGGGGCTAACCACTGCACCGCCGTTCCACCCCTGACACGTTGTCCCGGCCACACACGAACGAACCAGTTTTGTGGATGTTGGCTGGGTTGAGGGACCCTCCACGGGACTACGTACATGCTGTTGCTGTGCGACGACTCCGGCTTGAGGCTAGGGGCGACTATGGCTGGGTGTGGGATCCCGGTTGGGTGCAGCCCATGGTGGGACGGGACCAGGTGCGACGGAAACCTGCGGCAGCGAGAATCGACACCGGGCGAGAGAGTTCACCGCGGCGGCAACACAAAGACAACCGTACGAGCGAGACGCGGCAGGGAGGCCCGTGCGGCACCGCGATCGCCGACGAGCGCCGGCGCACGACCGCCGGCGCACGACCGCCGCGTCACACGTGACGAGACTGCGAGCCAGGGCTCGCGGTTTCAACCGAGCTGGCCCCACGCGGGCGCACGTTACCACGGCGGGGCGGTAACTCGTGCCGCGCAAGCTAAACCCTTATTCCCGCTCCAGTGACGTACGTGTGTGTGTGTGCGTGCGTGTGCACGTCATCATTTTTTTTCCCCCGATTCCGTTGCGTGCAGGTGGGCGTGTGGCACAGTTTTGGTGCCGGCTATCGTAGAGTGCGCCATCGTGTCGCCACGCTTCTCTGCAGCGAGTGCGACGTCGTTCAAATAAAAAAAGTGGCGCTATGCCTCCCCGAACGCCGAGCCGATTGCGGATTCCGAGAGTCAGCGGTGAACAGGACCCACACCCTGCAACTGGCAGACGTCTCAGAACGGGAAAGGGTTAACCCTTTCCCGCTCTCTTAACCCTTTCCCGCTCTCTTAACCCTTTCCCGTTCTCTTAACCCTTTCCCGTTCTCTTAACCCTTTCCCGTTCTCTTAACCCTTTCCCGTTCTCTTAACCCTTTCCGCTCTCTTAACCCTTTCCCGCTCTCTTAACCCTTTCCCGCTCTCTTAACCCTTTCCCGCTCTCTTAACCCTTTCCCGCTCTCTTAACCCTTTCCCGCTCTCTTAACCCTTTCCCGCTCTCTTAACCCTTTCCCGCTCTCTTAACCCTTTCCCGCTCTCTTAACCCTTTCCCGTTCTCTTAACCCTTTCCCGCTCTCTTAACCCTTTCCCGCTCTCTTAACCCTTTCCCGTTCTCTTAACCCTTTCCCGCTCTCTTAACCCTTTCCGCTCTCTTAACCCTTTCCCGCTCTCTTAACCCTTTCCCGTTCTCTTAACCCTTTCCCGCTCTCTTAACCCTTTCCCGCTCTCTTAACCCTTTCCCGCTCTCTTAACCCTTTCCCGTTCTCTTAACCCTTTCCCGTTCTCTTAACCCTTTCCCGTTCTCTTAACCCTTTCCCGTTCTCTTAACCCTTTCCCGCTCTCTTAACCCTTTCCCGTTCTCTTAACCCTTTCCCGCTCTCTTAACCCTTTCCCGCTCTCTTAACCCTTTCCCGTTCTCTTAACCCTTTCCCGCTCTCTTAACCCTTTCCCGCTCTCTTAACCCTTTCCCCTCTCTTAACCCTTTCCCGTTCTCTTAACCCTTTCCCGTTCTCTTAACCCTTTCCCGTTCTCTTAACCCTTTCCCGTTCTCTTAACCCTTTCCCGCTCTCTTAACCCTTTCCCGTTCTCTTAACCCTTTCCCGCTCTCTTAACCCTTTCCCGCTCTCTTAACCCTTTCCCGCTCTTAACCCTTTCCCGTTCTCTTAACCCTTTCTCCGGTCTCTTAAACCCTTTCCCGTTCTCTTAACCCGTTTCCCGCGCTCTTAACCCTTTCCCGCTCTCTTAACCCTTCCCTCTCTTACCCTTCCCGCTCTCTTAAAAAACCCGTTCCGCTTCTCTTAAACCTTCCCGTTCTCTTAACCCTTTCCCCGTTCTCTTAACCCGTTCCCGTTCTCTTAACCCTTCTTGCCCGTTCTCTTAACCCTTTCCCCGTTCTCTTAACCCTTTCCCGTTCTCTTAACCCTTTCCCGTTCTCTTAACCCTTTCCCCGTTCTCCTTAACCCGTTCCCCGCCTCTCTGAACCCTATTCTCCCGTTCTCTTAACCCTTGCCCCGCTCTCTTAACCCTTTCCGTTCTATTAAACCCTTCCGTTCTCTTAACCCTTCCCGTTCTCTTAAACCCTTTCCCGTTCTCTTAAACCCTGTCCCGTTCTCTTAACCCTTTCCCCGTTCTCTTAACCCTTTCCCCGTTCTCTTAACCCTTTCCCCCGTTCTCTTAACCCTTCCCCCGTTCTCTTAACCCTTTCCCAGTTCTCCTTAACCATTTCCCAGCTCTCTTAAAAAAACCCTTTCCCTTCTCTTAACCCTTTCCCGTTCTCTTAACCCTTTCCCGTTCTCTTAACCCTTTCCCGCTCTCTTAACCCTTTCCCGTTCTCTTAACCCTTTCCCGTTCTCTTAACCCTTTCCCGTTCTCTTAACCCTTTCCCGTTCTCTTAACCCTTTCCCGTTCTCTTAACCCTTTCCCGTTCTCTTAACCCTTTCCCGTTCTCTTAACCCTTTCCCGTTCTCTTAACCCTTTCCCGTTCTCTTAACCCTTTCCCGTTCTCTTAACCCTTTCCCGCTCTCTTAACCCTTTCCCGCTCTCTTAACCCTTTCCCGCTCTCTTAACCCTTTCCCGCTCTCTTAACCCTTTCCCGTTCTCTTAACCCTTTCCCGTTCTCTTAACCCTTTCCCGTTCTCTTAACCCTTTCCCGCTCTCTTAACCCTTTCCCGCTCTCTTAACCCTTTCCCGTTCTCTTAACCCTTTCCCGCTCTCTTAACCCTTTCCCGTTCTCTTAACCCTTTCCCGCTCTCTTAACCCTTTCCCGTTCTCTTAACCCTTTCCCGTTCTCTTAACCCTTTCCCGCTCTCTTAACCCTTTCCCGTTCTCTTAACCCTTTCCCCCTCTTAACCCTTTCCCGTTCTCTTAACCCTTTCCCGTTCTCTTAACCCTTTCCCGTTCTCTTAACCCTTTCCCGTTCTCTTAACCCTTTCCCGTTCTCTTAACCCTTTCCCGTTCTCTTAACCCTTTCCCTTCTCTTAACCCTTTCCCGTTCTCTTAACCCTTTCCCGTTCTCTTAACCCTTTCCCGTTCTCTTAACCCTTTCCCGTTCTCTTAACCCTTTCCCTTCTCTTAACCCTTTCCCGTTCTCTTAACCCTTTCCCGTTCTCTTAACCCTTTCCCGCTCTCTTAACCCTTTCCCGCTCTCTTAACCCTTTCCCGTTCTCTTAACCCTTTCCCGTTCTCTTAACCCTTTCCCGTTCTCTTAACCCTTTCCCGTTCTCTTAACCCTTTCCCGTTCTCTTAACCCTTTCCCGTTCTCTTAACCCTTTCCCGTTCTCTTAACCCTTTCCCGTTCTCTTAACCCTTTCCCGCTCTCTTAACCCTTTCCCGCTCTCTTAACCCTTTCCCGCTCTCTTAAGAGAACGGTGCCGACTTTGGCAGGAGCCATCGATGGGATTGAGGGGATTGAGGGGATCGAGGTGCGCGTGCGTCGCGACACCGTTGGACCTTCGCCGGGCGCGCCAGTGCGGGAAGTACACGGCGGGGGGAAAAAAAAAGGTACGGTGCATTTGTTTTCGTGATTAAATAAAAAGCGTCTGCTCTAACTAATTGCTATGTTAAACGTCGTTTGTGGCCGCGCCCAGACATCTACCGCTCGCCGGGAAGGGCAGGGAAGGGATGGGTGGGGGATGGGGGCCTGACGGCCCGTGCAGCGTAGGGACCTGGTGGCTGGGTCCCTGTGCCGATTCTGGGTCACAACCGGCCCATCAGAGCACGGCTTCCAGTGGCCTTGAAAAACAAACCAATAGCACTGGGTCTCCCACAGTCGTCCTTGCATCAACCGTGCCACGCAGTCCGTCTTTTCTTCCAATTTCCCAGTCGTATTTAAGCACCGATGCTTGCGGCCGTACAGCAGAAATTTTTAATGAGGCACTTCATTGGCTTCTCGTGCACATTTAGCTATGTTAAACGTCGTTTGTGGCCGCGCCCAGACATCTACCGCTCGCCGGGAAGGGCAGGGAAGGGATAGGTGGGGGATGGGGGCCTGACGGCCCGTGCAGCGTAGGGACCTGGTGGCTGGGTCCCTGTGCCGATTCTGGGTCACAACCGGCCCATCAGAGCACGGCTTCCAGCGGCCTTGAAAAACAAACCAATAGCACTGGGTCTCCCACAGTCGTCCTTGCATCAACCGTGCCACGCAGTCCGTCTTTTCTTCCAATTTCCCAGTCGTATTTAAGCACTGATGCTTGCGGCCGTACAGCAGAAATTTTTAATGAGGCACTTCATTGGCTTCTCGTGCACATTTAGCTGCGTTTCACGAGGCAGAATCACTTTTAATACAAAGGTAATGATGTGCTTAATTGTCTGAATGAGGTATATTACTAAAACTCCCCTATGGATGCAGCACATTAAATCGCAAAGCCTCGTTAGTGCCAAGGAGAAAAAAATAAAAAATAAACGGTAAGTAGCTTTAAACATATTCATTCATGTAGAGTAAAACAACTATTTTCGTGTGTGCGTGTAACCAGTGTGTGCGTGCTCACACACGTATTGTGCAACATCCTCGTGTGCGTATTGGGCAGCAGAGTCCCGCGTGTGTCCGGGGCGAGTGTTTACAAGTGCGGGTCGGAGGTTCATGCTGTGCTTTGCAATCGCATGTCCGTGGGTTCAATCCTGGGTCACGTGCCACACTGATGAAATACTCACCGCACGCTACGCCTGCCTTAAAGTGGATTTCGGATTAGCACGGTTTGGCTACGTACGGCGCGAAAGAAGCTCGACGGTCGTACATACAAAGTCGGCTCTCGCCAACAGCTCTGAAGCCGACGGACTAAGGGGGGGGGGGGGGGCGGCAATGAAAGCCAGGCCTCCCTGTCTGAGCTCAACCCCAGCAGCAAGTGCCCCGAGAACGCCCGAGGTGTGCTCGCGACCATGGGGACAGGCAGGGGGTCGGCCCCGCACGCCCGCTCAGTGCAACTTACTTCCACCAACGGTGTTAATTGCATTTAATTAAATCGCCCGATGAATCAACGAGGCGTGGCGAAGCCCAACTGTGACGGGAAGCCCCCCTGCTGCCTAACGAAAACAAACACGCAGTGTGGGGCCCCACTAATTGCATTGCAATTAACTTTTAATGAGCCCGCAGGGTGTGGGAGAACTGAAGCTGGGACGCACGCGTGGGTCTGCACGACGTGCCCGACAGCGCGCACGCGGCGCTGCGTTTTGTCGGACAAGATGAATCATTAAACGAGACTCGGGTCCAAGGAAATCCACTTTCTTGTTTGCTGGATCAGTTGCGAGGTGCTTCGGGGCTCTTGAACCGAAAAGGAGAGTTTTCTGATTGCTGCATATTTTTACATCATTTCTTTTTTTTCCCCCCCGAGTGGAAATGTCTTGGGACAATAAATATATATTTTTTTTACTCTCTTGCGAGTCCCGCCCTTGCGTCTCTTATTGAAATGCATGGTCTAAACGCAAGTTAGTTTACAGCAACAGATGGCGAGTAAACTAATAATATACCAAAAGCCCAATGCCATATCTCAGTAATGTTTGACCATCTGAACACACTGCCAATGTGATTATTACGACAATCAACAACCACTCGCAACATACAACCGTGCCATGTTCCGCTCCATCTCAATATATTTTTTAAACCATTACATTATTATAGATTTAATTAAGTCGTAAGAGTGAACATTATTATAGATTTAATTAAGTCGTAAGAGTGAACATTATTATTGTTAATATTTGTTTTTGCTTTCACGCAATGACTACAAATTTCGAACATTAACGTTGGCCAAAACGGGAAAAGTTATTATCGCTCTGCGATGAGCTTAAGGTCAGAGCACACGTCTCTCTCTCTCTGCTGGCTCAAGATAAGGTCCCGCGGGGTTTTCAGTCCCCCAAACGACTGTTTCTGCATCTATTATTTCTCTATGAAATGTGACAGTTCTTCAAAAAAGTAACGACGTTTCAACGGCCTGTGTCCTGTTTATAAAAAAACAATGCCTTCTTGCGCAAAGGGAGCGTTGAAACAAAAAAAAAACGGAAAATAATTACAAAAATGTCACGTGTTTTAAGTCGGGGCAGCTGATCTATTTTCAATTTATGTCAGCAGGGAGATAAACAGAGCAATTTTAACCGGATCTCCGTGTTCCCAATAAGTTGCAAACAGCTTTAGAGTATTTTCAGCATAAGCAGTTCCTAAACTCCAGATCTCAGACTCTCTTCAAATAGGGTTGCCACCAATCCTGGTTTTCCCATATTCCCAGGATCATCCGCTTTTTGATGCAGCCGGCCTGAAAAATATGTGAGTCTTCCCAGAACATCAAACATCGACAGTCCCGGTTTATGTTGGTTACACATAGTTTCTCCCCTCTTCCGGTACCATGAGATATTCTTCTTCCCATGATGAGTTCCTTTTTTGTGTGTGTACCTCAGGAGGTGACAACCCTAACCGCAAGGGCCCAGGGTTTACAGTCTTTCCAGGATTTACCATTCGTACATTAAACCGTTTTAACGCACGCAGTCTACATCTGTCGAAAAGATGAAATGTAAAACGCCGAGCGTGATGTCCCAGCCCATTTTGAAAACTCATTTCTTTTGAACTGCTCAATAGTTTGTTCCCCCCCCCCCCGCACCTCCGATTAGCGCAGTTAGCTACGTACGGTTGCGAAAGAAGTTCAACATACGTAAACGTGCCTATGTGTAGGAGAGTGCGCGGCGGAGGAGAGCTGTGGTGCTGGCAGAGGGGAGAGTGCAGCGAGCAAGGGGATGAAGTCTGTGAACGTACCGGGACACGGGGGTGGAGACGGTGAGGGCTGTGGGGTACGGTGGCCGGAAGCCGGCAGTGCTGAGTGGGTAGAGGGGTTGCCCCTGCCTGTACGGCAACAAGCGCAGACAGCGTCATTCACACGCAGGTCCAGCTTGCACAGTTATAAGACAACACGAAGTTCCACATCCGCATAATCTTAAGACTTTGCGGAACAAGTGGCGTTAAAGCGAGCGCCTGCAACGGCCGGCATGGCACACGAGGGGGTGGGTGGCCAGCACCACGCCCGGCTGCCTTTGTCTCCCTTGTGGCGTTGTTTACACACCGCGCCAGCTAAAGTAAGAATTTGCCCAGAGCGGTGGCCAGGTCGACGTCTGTCGTTACAGACGCGCGTGCATGTGTGAGGTGCGCCAGGGTGGGAAGGGCCCCGATGCATTCCTTGCAGCAGGGGCCCCAAGCCAAGCATGCCATGCCACTGGCAGAGAAGGAGGTTGTGGGCACGGACTGCCGCTGGGGTAGCGTTTGCGCCGCGATGCACGGCATCGGCAAAAGGCTTTGAGGGATGCTCGGGTCACGGGGAGGAGGGGCAGTGAGAGGTTTTTTTTTGCGAACAAGATTAAGTGACCGTTTTTTTTTTTCCTCCCGTTTTATATGTCAAATCGGCAGGCCTCACCAACCGGCATTAATTTTACTCCGGACATGCAGCCTTTGCCGAGTAAAAATCAAGCACTTCATCAAGTATCTCATTGAATATCTGCAGATTTTAAATATGTTTGATCCAGCGGACCTTTGCCTTCCTGGGGCATCGTTCCAGATCCCCCCCGACTCGCCAAGCTCTGCAACGCGGGTTCCAAGGTTGTCATTTGCAGATGCTAACGTCGCCGTTTTTTCACCCCAGAATAAATATCTTAAATGCACGTATGAATAAATTATCAAACAAACATGGAACTAAATGCCATGTCCTCGTAAACCCGAGAAGAAAGATATTTTCATCAGCGCGCTCGTCAAATATTAATGACGCTAGGCAGCCTTGCACTTAGACCATCAAAGAGAAGCGAGCGGGATTGTGCTGTGATAAATTGAGCATTACCGGATAATTACTTGTGTAAAGGGCTGTAATTGCGACAGGGATTATAAGCCTTGACGTGCCGCGTGTGTGCGGAGTGTTAATGTGGGGGCCACCGCAACGGACGGAGGGCTTCTTTCCGCTCGCACAACCTCCAACGGCCGCGTCACTGGCACGCCTCTCTGCTCTGCGCCCATCCCACGCGCTCACTCAGTTTATTGCTCCTCATTCCGCCACCTTTATTATCTCGGAGGGCATCGGTCTTTAAGAGGCCCCCTCTTATTAATCTGCATTAGCGCCGCCTCGCGATTATGCATCGCGTCCTGCCAAGGACTGAACCGTACCCACCCAGCACCTTTCTCTGCCTGCGAGGGACGGGGGGGGGGTGAGGAATTTGCTTGCAAGAGGTGGGGGAGGGATTGCGTGCAGTCGCTGGATACAGCCACTTACATTTTCCTACTCCTTTGAGCGTGTGTGGTGTTCTTTACACGGCAATAGTTATTGGCAATTTCCAACTTAAGTGGTGACAGATTTTAAGAATTGGACCGTCATAAGGTGTTCTCATTCAAGCCACTCAAAACATTTGCCCATGTGTGTGCATATGCGTGCAGATAACACCTGACACGTGGATCAGAAAACAAAACAAACGAAAAGTACGGAGAGCACATTGATTGATGAGAAGAAAAGTGATAACAGAATTATCCTGGGCCTCCCATTAGGTCGACTCAGCCTTAGAATAGTACCTGGTGCGGTGCGTCATCAACATCGGCAATGGACAGACGACAACGACCGAGCGTATGGCGCTGTCCCACACCACCCCCTCACGCGTCATTCCGGTCTTAATAGGCGCGCACTTCCCTAACAGCACTCGCTCCCACACAGTGTTCTTGGCTATACAGGGAGATGTTGACCTTTGCACGTTGTGCATATCTCCCCCATTTTATGTGCGCTCGTGCAAGACGCACCAATGCTTGGCAGTTACGTAAACGCGCGCGTCTCATGAGCGTGTAGGTGGGCACACCTGTGTGCAGGCGTGTGTGCAGGCGTGTGTGCAGGCGTGTGTGCAGGCGTGTGTGCAGGCGTGTGTGCAGGCGTGTGTGCAGGCGTGTGTGCAGGCGTGTGTGCAGGCGTGTGTGCAGTTCCGTGTGTGCGTTCACGTGTGTGCGTTCACGTGTGATGGGGGCGTGTTACCCACCAGCACAGCGGGTGCGGTATTTGCCCCGGGAGGGAGTAATACGAAGCGAGGTCGGGGCCATGCGGAGGGCGAGGGATCCCTGCGAGCGGCAGCAACCACGAGGACGACGGACAGAGCAGCACACAGGGCAGAATCCGTTAAGACGGGCAAACATAACTTGAACCCCTTGACAGCGTTTCTCTCACGCTCGCTCTTGAACCGCAGCTGTGCCTTGTAAAAGAGAGCCACGCCAGCTCACATGGCCCTCACGGTAATGGTGTGGAGTTTCCGCTCGGTCAATAATTTTCGTATTGCGCGTTGACGTCACGAAGATGCGCGTGTTGTCTGGCCTGAGACTCTGCGGGGGATAAACAATCTGGCGCCTCTTGAGCCGCTGGCCCGGCACAGTCCCGGCACGGCACGGTTGCAAAGTGGAACAGAGGAGGTACACTCGGTGGCCCTCTCATGTGGTTGGAATAAACGTTCTGACTCGGTGATGTCTGAAGCTCTGGTTTAAAGATACCTCGATACTCATTTATTCTAGATTTGAAGCTTTCGTGACTGCAAGGATTCACACTCTTAGTTCTTTCGGTAAAGTCACGTAGGTAAAAAATGAAATAAAAATTAATAAAAAATAAAAACAATAAAATCACGACGTTTCGGAGGCAACACAAGCTTCCGTCTTCAGGTGAAACTGTCACAGCAAAAAATCTGTATGACAGTTTCACCTGAAGACGGAAGCTTGTGTTGCCTCCGAAACGTCGTGATTTTATTATTTTTATTTTTTATTAATTTTTATTTCATTTTTACCTACGTGACTTTACCGAAAAAACTAAGAGTATGGATACTAATTTAATTTAAAATCAAACCAACTTTTCACAGCTCTACAGGCAATGCAATATTCCTTGGTTGGCGAGTTTCGTCAAGAGTGTTGGGGAAAATATTCAAGGTGAACGGGACGGCGACTTCAAGCCATTCTCCATCACACCGCTTCAGAACATTCAAATTATTCTCAAGAAATCCTGAGGGGGCTCGCGTACAATCAATTCCTTTTAGGCATTTCAATTTGTGTCGAACATTATTCGTATTCAGGGAACATACCTCCTCGTATCGTAGCATTGCTTAGAATAAATTTCCCTCAAGTTATCGGGAAGAAAATTGAAATTACACACGCATGGAGAGACGTTGGTGGTTTTGTCGCAACAACATGGAGAGAGAGGAAAGAATAAACCACGCTGAAGTTGCAAGCGGAATCTTGAGGAACACCGTGAGCATGTTGAAATTTACTAGGCAAAGCATTGACGACCGATGACGAGTTAATAAAACTATTTAGTGACGCCCGGGATTCGCAAACAAAAAAAATTGTACGACGAAACTATTCACAAGCGCGAGCAGAAACTCCTATCGCCCCTTCACTGAAAGGAAAAAAAAACGTATCGCACAGGAGTTACTCATCAAGTATTGAGCCCTCGCTTACGACTGATCAACCCAGTCACCAGCAATAGTCTCTTTAATTAGTTCCAGGTCAGCGTGCTGATCAGACTCATTTCTCTTTAAAAGGTAGGCCTCGAGTATGATAATCCATCTTCTTGGTTCTTTCAGTAAAGTCATGTAGAAGGGAAATAATAAAAATAAAACATAATAAAATAATTCTCACGACGTTTCGGCTACAACGCAAGCAGCCGTCCTCAGGTGAAGAACCGGTCTGTCGGAAAGACAGACCTGTTCTTCCAAAGAACCAAGAAGATGAATCCCTACAGTCACAAAAGCTTTAAATCGAAATATGATAATCAACTTTGTTGAGCTGCCGTTTGTGGGCAGCTAGCTTATGAAAAGGAGCTACAAAGCTCAGTGGGGCCTTTTCCCTGCTCAAAGAAAAAGAGTACAGAGATTATGGAAAATGACTGGGACAGGTAGGCCAAGGGTAGAGGTGAGGGGGGGGGGTTGGTGGGGCCAGGGGCGGTCGTCCCCCGGCTCGTCTCACCTGTCTTGGGGTCGAGGTCTGCGAGGTGCGGCGAGGGAGTGCCCGGAGCGAAGTGCTCGTTGCTGTAGGCGAGCAGCGGCGTGAGCGGGTGCACGTGGTGGGGCGACTGCACCACCGGCACTTTGTTGGGCTGCAAGGCAAAACACGCGTTGCACACATGAGGGTTCGCTCGCTGCAAACGTCGAATCGGAGGTCAAAAAGTCGCCACACGCAACGTTTCTTGTCAAGCCACTGCTGGACGAGAGGCTCTCATCATGTCGTGAAGGTCGTGTGGGGTTATTTGACCATACTTCACCGTGCTGGTCAGTGCAAGTTGGCAAAGGCAGGGAGAAAAGACGTGGGTGTGTGGAAGTACAACAGTGGATTTTGCTGCGCTGAACAAACACAAATTACCGAGATCATATTCATTGCCGCCAACTCTCCGCTGCTCACAAGGCAGCACAGTCCGCACAGTCGCCTATAACACCTGTGAGTGTATGGTGGTCATCCATCCAAGAACTATCCAGGCTCAACTCGACTTAAGATTCTCAGATCTGACGACATCAGGCACATACAATTCAAAATACCTGTGTACAGAAGCGACCTGGCCACGATTGACCGCTCAACGAAGTGGCTTATCACGTGGAAATATATAGCACCAAAAAAAAAAACTCTAAACGCACGTTGATTCATAATGCGGAGGGAAAAACTGGAGGACCTGGAGAAAAATCCACACAACCACGGGGCGAGACACATGCAAACTCCAAATATACAGCAGGCGTCAGGGTTGGGATCGAACCCACAACCTCCTGTATACCAGGGCGAGGTAGTTAACATTATCCTAGTCACCTGGTTTACAGGGAACCTGGTATGGCGAGGCGGCGGTCGGAGTGCCTTCTTGAATACGGGGCATGCCGACGGCGACTGCCAACAGTAAACGGCCGCTTTGCGAAAGCGGACGCGCTTTGGAAACGTTGCGATATGAGCAGCAGCAGCAGTAGCGACCTCTCCACCACCGATGAACGTTTTGTAATCTCAGCACTACTTGCTGCATTGTTCAAGCAGTGTTATTTTTAATCATCACCCTTCTGATTTACTCTGAAATCAGTATTGAATTGGTTAAAAATCATTACGATTTAACGAAATGTATAACATTTGGATTTGTGCCTTTAACTCCCCCCACAGAAAAATAAGGCGATTGTAGTTTTCTTGCAGCACTGTATTCCAGTTATAATGCAAACCAACGCGTTCCTTTTAGCTCTGGGTACTCGACAATTAATTTCTGAAGACACCAGAAGATGCCTTGGGGGGGGCGGTGGGGGTTAACAGCAATGGACTTCTCCATTACAGCAACGATAATTGATTTAAAGGAGAAGTAGCAGTGCCTCATCCTAACAATGCAGGGGAACCAGAGGCAAGTGAACGGGTGACACACAAAGGAACTCTTCAGCCAATGTTTGCTCGGCCCGCTCATTCAAGCTCAAACTTCTAAACATCAAACAACCCGCACGCGCCGCCGAGCCAACAGCTGCCACGGCACTTAGCAACTGCAAAACATTCCCTCGACAACGATTATTGCGAATGTGCCCGATCACGGCAGACCTTGGAAATTAAAGAGGTTTGAAGCCTCGTTATGTGGTGCTTGGAAGGGAGAGACCGCTCGGAAACACCACATTTTTAAATCCTTTATATTAAGTTCACTTGCTTGCACGCTTACGACCGTGCAAATCTTTCGGTCGTTTTTTAACCCACTTCCCGTGATCCAATGGAGCTGACATTTTGCACAGACTCGTTGTGCGTGACAATTTCTTTTCGTGAAATTTCTTTTCCAAAATTTTACACTTTTTAGGTAAAAAAAATTATATTTCATTACCAATTGCTTAATGGTGGCAGGCAATCATCTGACCCATAGGTGGCAGCCATCTCAAGCCAGAGGACGAGAGGACTCTAGCCGCCCGTTTCAAAGACCAATGTGGGCTGGGTTGTGGCCCATTGAACACGTATATAAAGGATTTATAGTGAAAAACTTTGTTTGTACGGGTTAATTTTTTTGGTTTTACGTTGCAAGGTGGCTCAAAGATGGAACTCCAATACACTGACGGGTCCCTGAATCTATCTGTGTGGAGTTTGCAGTGTTAACCCCACACACCCACATGTGGTTTCTCCCACATGCCATTCATGAATCAAACTGGCCAAATATCCCAACGCAGAACCCCCCCCCCCCCTTCCTGAAAGAGAGCCCGACTCAATGGGGCTTTCCTGAGTAAAGGCCCTAATATCAACATGCTGTTAAAGTTGATTCATGCCGGTAATGACTGCCCGGTGTGTTCAGTGAACTCTGAACAATGCTGCTTGTCGAATCCACGTGTCCCAGTGCTCGCCCGTGTTAAAAGCCAAAGCCGTCCCCCCCCCCCCCCTTCATTCACGCCATAGCCGGGGCACTGCATGGGGAGGACTAGCCAAGAGAGTGACACACACACACTCACTCGCTTGAGAACACACACACGCGCACTCGCTTGAGAACGAGCCAGCTTGAGTCGTCATCACGTAATTATACACCTTTTAAGCAAGCAAACCTGACTTGAGGCGACAAAGCGGATTGAAGCTTGCGAGCCGTATTTATCCACACGCAAGCGCCACGCCTGTCACAGCGGCAGATAAAGTGTCACAAGTTAGCCTTGTGCACATGTCGGATCACGCTGTCGGAGCCACACGTTTATGGAATGCGTGCAAGAGAAAGAGGCCAGCCAGATGGACAAAAAACAGATAATCTAATACCATTAGTGTGGGCAAAAGCAATAAGTAACAATTTAGTCCTATGTCAATCAACTGGAGGATGAAGGCCTACTCCTACCATTGTGAGTCAAGTGGTTGTTTGACAAGACTTCACCAAGCTGGACAGTGCCGGCTAGTCAAGGGGAGGGAGGCCCAGGACCAGTTCAGACATGGCCATGTCCGTGAATCGCACACGAAAAGACATGCCGCTTTAACAGCTCAAGTCGCTCTTGCTTTTAAACCACATTCTCCCAGTGCATGCCTCCTTGTCTCTTCCTTCCTAGAACCGAGTCTCTGCTCTCTCTCTCTGCCTCCCAACGCCACTGCTCAAATGGGCGGAAACTCCATGCTTCATTTCGCAGCCCACATTGCAAACTCTCTTGGTCCTGTTTGAACCTCGGCTCACCTCATTCCGAAAGCTCAAGGTTAACTTATGAACCAACCTCCATTCACCCAGTTTATTACACAGCATCTGAGAACAAATCATCATAAATGTGCCCGATGTCTTTGTGTTGAACTTCTTTCGCACCGTACGTAGCCAACCGTGCTAATCGGTGGTGCGGGAACATCAGATCCCATCAGGTTTCAAGAAAGCCGCACAGGGTCTAGCCCAGCTAGTACTTGATTCGGTGCCCTACAGGGCTTGCCAGGTGCTGTAGGTGTAGAAGCTATGGAGGTGGCCAAAGGGGCAATGCAGTGCTGAGTGTGACCCCCCCCCATATCAGATGGGTGACGGGTTCTCTCTCTGGGTTCTCCAGTTTCCTTCCACATGCCAAAAAACGAATCGATGGGATTGGTCAAGCATCCGATTTGCAGGACCCTCTTGATAGAGCCATGGGACTGAGTGCGAGACTTTTCCGGGTAAACATTGGGCACGACTGAGAATACCAATGTGTACGTTTTAATATTTGGTTCATTCATCACCCTCTCGCCTCCGTGTATAACGACACGCTCAGAACTGTAAAATATTTACAGGAGCCTTTTGCTTTTTGATGTAATATTCTTCCGGATAATGCAGCGGTGTATCCGTCTCACAGTTTGACTGGGCGTAACAATGCATCCAAATCGTGCAAATTACAAAAATTGCCTTCCACTGCATTACCCTGCGAGATCTCAGCCTATTAACTCCTGCAAACCCCCCTCCCCCACACCGCTTCGGATTCTGGCGACGGACAGACAAGCGTTCAAAAGCAAAAAAAAACACACGTCGATTCTTGTCCAGAACATCTCGTAAAAGCAAAGTACGAGAACTGTATTTGTTTCTTTTGACGTGGTGGGGAGTAAAGAAAATTGAATGAGAAGATTAATAAAAACACCACATTTTTTAATGCTCTGTACACAATGTTCCTTTTAACGCATGCCACACGTACATGAGAGTGCATTAAAGCAGCATGAAGAGAAAATAAATGCGTGCTTAATTAGTCTGGCTACCTTAATAAGGCACAAAAAAAACCCTGCACTTGTAACTCCTCTTCCGTGAACATCGCTTCCAAACAGAAGCATACGCGGCCAGATAAGCGCTGATAACGAGATGCAACGTTTTCACGTGGCATCCCCGAAATTCAACGAGACGTTTCTAAAGCTTCTGTTTTTGCGCTAATAAAGACAATCGCACGCACATTTAGCTTCGCGTTTTTGGTACAACAGTCACGTTGTAATAATTCACGATGCAATGAACCCATTAACAAAAACCACAAATATTACTAAATCGCCTGCCCGTGCCTATTTCCGTACGAGAGTATCACGGGCGGAGGAGACGCGGAATATACTCGCACGTACATAAAAAAGCACGCACACAGAAACACGGGCACTCGAGCACACGAACACCGAGATTAAATTGAGCAACATGCTTACAATGAAAGCACGTCACAAATGTACCGATGTGGACGATATTGAATGCAAGTGGAAACAGGCAGAACATGAATGTAAAAGTCTTTCAGCTCCATCATCTTATCTTACATAAAAGCTGGAACAAATGATAAATATAAAATCGCTTCCAAACGCTCATGACACACGTGTCGAATCGACCATTTTCATTTCGTGAACTCTACCTGGTTGGCGTGACCCCTGCCAGAGAGCAACCGCTACATCGCCCAACAAGGAGTCGAATTGCGACCCCCCCCCACCGCCCCCAGGCCGTTACAACACTTCTTCGGTTAGGTTACGGAAGGGAATCATTACAGGGCTACGCACTACCGAGTAAACACCGCTCCAGGTGTATAACACAGCAATTTGTAAGGTGAGGAAAAAAACCCGTGCGAGTGGGAATCGAACTGGGGGTCACAGGGTTCGTAGCGCAGCGCGCTAACCACCGCACCGCTGCTCCCCACACACGCATAGACACTCGCGAGCGAGCACACGCACACACACCGCCCC